CTTATGAGACTCCACTACTGTAACTGATGAAGCGATACACATGAAAGGTCTAGTGTGTAATAACCCCCATTAGTTGGTAATTTTTCAATATGCGTATACATACATACATACATACATATATATATATATATATATATATATATATATATATATATATATATATATATATATATATATATATATATATATAATATATATAAACAGATTGTGAAGAGAATATTGGAAATGGAAAGTAAAATAAAAGTGAAGCAAATTAATCATTAAAACAATAATAATTAATAATAATAATAATAATAATAATAATAATAATAATAATACTATTGATCTTCATTTCTCCAAGTACATATACAAGGTATACAGTCCTAGCTGATATCAATAACATACTACTATATAGAAAACCGCTTGTTATGCAGAGCATTTCGAGCAAATTAGATCAATTTTGTCCCAGGATGCGACCCACACCAGTCTACTAACACCCAGGTACCTGTTTTACTGATGGATGAACAAGGACAGCAGGTGTCTTAAGGAAACACGTCCTAATGTTTTCCAGCCATACCAGGGATTAGATCCCCGGACCTCAGTGTGTGAGCTGAGTGCGCTAGCGATCGACAGAAGATTCCATTAAATATCGAACACTAAGTAATTTAAAGTTTAGTTAGAAAATCTGAGAAAACGGCTAAGTGACGAGCATAATTTTAAGAATACAATGAGATGGCATTAATGACTCAAAAATTATTTCAAATACAAAGCATTAGAAATTAAGAAGACAACAATAATTAAACTAACTGACAACTTCCATGTTTTGACAACCAACCTATTTTTAACATTTTATCTGCACATGGATTATACCAACAACTGTTATTTGACCTTGTCTAGATCCAATATTCTCTTCTTAACTAACAAATTTTGAGGACGCGATAAGATATTGCAAAACGGCATGATGATGCTTTTTTTTTTTTACCCTTGTATTAATCTTTCTCTCTCTAAAACTTGCGATTTTGGCTTAAATAGCAATGCACTTCTTGCCGAATAGGACAGGCGAAAATTTTTGTATGCAATAACCTCGCAAAAAAATCAATCCGAACCTAACGAAAAAAATATATTTCATTGTGTTTATTATTAAATTATTGTAAACTTATATAAAATAAGGTTCTTTTGGTACAAAATCATTAATTTTTATATTAACATAAATGAAAAAATATACCTTTAAACGTATAAGAGAACATTTTAGAAAGGACTTAATTTTATATTTCTTGCTACGTGACCAATTTCATCTATTTGGCACGACACACACACACACCCGCCAGGAGCTTGGACTCGACCCCTGCAACCTCAACTAGGTAAGTACACACACACACACACACACACACACACACACACACACACACACACACACACACACACACACACACACACACACATATTATATATATATATAATATATATATATATATATATATATATATATATATATATATATATATATATAGAATCCCACAGTATGCCACCCGGTCTCCCACCCTCACAGGCCCCTCAAACCACAGTGTTGGAAAGGAAACTGAAGGTATGGTACACAAACGCTGATGGTATAACAAATAAGTGGAGGAGTGGCATGAAAGAGTCAAAGAGGCATCACGCGACATCATAGCTCTCACAGAAACCAAGCTTACAGGTATGATAACAGATGCCATCTTTCCAATGGGATACCAAATCCTGAGGAAAGACAGAGGGAACAGGGGGGGTGGAGGAGTGGCATTGCTGATCAAAAATCGCTGGAATTTTGATGAGCTGGAGAGAGGAGACAGCGGAGAAGAAAGTGATTACATAGCGGGAACACTTCACTCTGGAGGTCCCAAGGTGGTAATAGCAGTGATGTATAACCCACCACAGAACAGCAGGAGGCCAAGGCAAGTACGACGAGAGCAATAGAGCGATGGTTGACACACTGGCTAGAGTGGCCAGAAGAGCTCATGCATGCAGGGCAAAGCTCCTGATCATGGGTGACTTTAACCACAAGGAGATCGATTGGGAGAACTTGGACCTGCATGGGGGCCAAGATACATGGAGGGCTAAGATGATGGAGGTGGTACTGGAAAACTTCATGTACCAACACGTAAGGGACACTACAAGAGAGAGAGGAGAGGATGAACCAGCAAGGCTAGACTTAGTATTTACCTTGAGTAGTGCAGATATCGAGGACATCACATATGAAAGACCCCTTGGGGCCAGTGACCATGTGGTTTAAGCTTCGAATACACAGTAGAGCTACAAGTGGAGGGGAGAAGCAGGAAGGCCAGGACGAATGAAGCCAAACTACAAGAAAGGGGACTACACAGGAATGAGGAACTTCCTGAACGGGGTTCAGTGGGACAGAGAACTGGCAGGGAAGCCAGTTAATGGGATGATGGAATATGTAGCAACAAAATGCAAGGAGGCTGAGGAGAGGTTTGTACCCAAGGGTAACAGGAATAATGAAAAAGCCAGGATGAGCCCATGGTTCACCCAAAGGTGCAGGGAGGCAAAAACCAAGTGTGCTAGGGAATGGAAGAAATATAGAAGGCAAAGGACCCAGGAGAACAAGGAGAGCAGTCGTAGAGCCAGAAACGAATATGCACAGATAAGAAGGGAGGCCCAGAGACAATATGAAAATGACATAGCAGCGAAAGCCAAATCTGACCCGAAACTGTTGTACAGCCACATCAGGAGAAAACAACAGTCAAGGACCAGGTAATCAGGCTAAGGAAGGAAGGAGGAGAGACAACAAGAAATGAACGTGAAGTATGTGAGGAACTCAACAAGAGATTCAAAGAAGTGTTCACAGAGGAGACAGAAGGGGCTCCAAAAAGACGGAGAGGTGGGGCACACCACCATGTGCTGGACACAGTGCACACAACCGAGGAAGAAGTGAAGAGGCTTCTGAGTGAGCTAGATACCTCAAAGGCAATGGGGCCAGATAACATCTCCCCATGGGTATTGAGAGAGGGAGCAGAGGCGCTATGTGTACCCTAACAACAATATTCAATACATCTATCGAAACAGGAGATTGCCTGAGGCATGGAAGACAGCAAATGTAGTCCCAATCTTTAAAAAAGGAGACAGACATGAAGCATTAAACTACAGACCAGTGTCACTGACATGTATAGTATGCAAAATCATGGAGAAGATTATCAGGAGAAGAGTGGTGGAACACCTAGAAAGGAATGATCTCATCAACAGCAGCCAACATGGTTTCAGGGACGGGAAATCCTGTGTCACAAACCTACTGGAGTTCTATGACATGGTGACAGCAGTAAGACAAGAGAGAGAGAGGGGTGGGTGGATTGCATATTCTTGGACTGCAAGAAGGCGTTTGACAGTTCCACACAAGAGATTGGTGCAAAAACTGGAGGACCAAGCAGGGATAACAGGGAAGGCACTACAATGGATCAGAGAATACTTGTCAGGAAGACAGCAGCGAGTCATGGTACGTGGCGAGGGTGTCAGAGTGGGCACCTGTGACCAGCGGGGTCCCACAGGGGTCAGTCCTAGGACCAGTGCTGTTTCTGGTATTTATGAACGACATACGGAAGGAATAGACTCTGAGGTGTCCCTGTTTGCAGATGACGTGAAGTTGATGAGAAGAATTCACTCGATCGAAGACCAGGCAGAACTACAAAGGGATTTGGACAGGCTGCAGACCTGGTCCAGCAATTGGCTCCTGGATTTCAATCCACCAAGTGCAAAGTCATGAAGATTGGGGAAGGGCAAAGAAGACCGCAGACTGAGTACAGTCAAAGGGGCCAGAGACTACAAACCTCACTCAAGGAAAAAGATCTTGGGGTGAGTATAACACCAGCACATCTCCTGAAGCGCACATCAATCAAATAACTGCTGCAGCATATGGGCGCCTAGCAAACCTCAGAACAGCATTCCGACATCTTAATAAGGAATCGTTCAGGACCCTGTACACCGTGTACGTTAGGCCCATATTGGAGTATGCGGCATCAGTTTGGAACCCACACCTAGCCAAGCACGTAAAGAAACTAGAGAAAGTGCAAAGGTTTTTCAACAAGACTAGTCCCAGAGCTAAGAGGTATGTCCTACGAGGAGAGTTAAGGGAAATCAACCTGACGACACTGGAGGACAGGAGAGATAGGGGGGACATGATAACGACATACAAAATACTGAGAGGAATTTAGAAGGTGGACAAAGACAGGATGTTCCAGAGATTGGACACAGTAACAAGGGGACACAGTTGGAAGTTGAAGACACAGATGAATCACAGGGATGTTAGGAAGTATTTCTTCAGCCACAGAGTAGTCAGTAAGTGGAATAGTTTGGGAAGCGATGTAGTGGAGGCAGGATCCATACATAGCTTTAAGCAGAGGTATGATAAAGCTCACGGTTCAGAAGAGTGACCTAGTAGCGATCAGTGAAGAGGGGGCGGGGCCAGGAGCTCGGACTCGACCCTCGCAACCTCAACTAGGTGAGTACAACTAGGTGAGCACACACACACACACATAAATATATATTTATAATATGTATTTTAATATATGTATTATTATATGTATATATATATATATATATATATATATATATATATATATTATATATATATATAATATATATATATATATATTATATATAAATATATAATATATATATATAATATATATAATATATATATATATATATATATATATATATATATATATATATATATTATATATATTATATATATTATATGATACACTGGGACACAAGGTGCGGCATAAATTTCCAATTTTGTGTTCATCCTGTAACCTGTAAAACAGAAAAGTATTAACACTGCACAAAATTGACTCTGCTAAACCTGGTAGATTAAAGCAACTGATGCCAAATCAGTGCAGGAAAAACTGGAAAATATATAAAAAAAATTGTTGCTTGCGGTAAATCAACTTATACTGTACCCTATTTACTAATAATTGATGTGCTATTAGTATTAAAATGCATGAACAAAAACCTTATTTTGAGAAACTAACCCGAATTCTACTGGGTTTTTGAAGCCAAACCTCCACATGGAAGCCCGGGAGGGAGGATCCACCAGTCTACCCTGAGCTTCACAGAAAACCACGAAGAACCAACATTCACAGAAAACGACAACGACTGATGATAGGGAAGACTTGTATGCACCAGTTGCTAAGTACACTATTACAGTACATAACACACACGATACAACTCGTTGATATTGTTCACTTAACTGAAAACTTGTCTCGCCCATGTCCTCAGTCCTTCGTAATTACTAAGACATATTATTAAATAATAATTTTACTACATTTTCTTCAGTGAATCACTGATATTGAAAAAAACGGTAAAATCCATCATATTCGTTTTATGTAGTCACACAAACGTAAACCACAGATTTTTTGTATCACTGCATTAGATGCATGGCTCATACCAGCACCTCTAATATTTTTCCAAGTAAGATTAGCCACTTGTTGATCACTAATGAACGTTTGCAGGTGAGAGGCATGGCAGGCGTTAATGGTATAGTTGAGGGTGGGAGAGAGAGGGCTGGCTCATGTACTGTACACACTCTTAGTTGTGACTGTCCGTGGTCGAGGTTCCCACTGCTACTGTCCCACCACACACACACACCTCACCACTACCTCAATGTTCACACCACTGTGCTATCTCACCTGTGACTATCATGCTTCACACACCACAATTCACGTTCTTTGCGTGTGTCCACCACCTGTTCCCAGGATTTCCTGTCTTGATACAAAAACATGAATATTTACAACGTATTTTTCCTCTTCTGGTTATGTCAATTGTTATTATGTGCGACGAGGACACGTGGAGCACTACAACCTCGCCTCTCCGCGCCACACACTGCGCTAATCAATTATATATTATATATTCATGGGGCAGCGGTAAGCTCATAGGGGTTCATTAAGTGTTGGGGAATGGAGGTTGGGGAATGGAGGTAATCAGGTACGAATCAAGGAATGGGGTTAATAGCTCTAATGATCGAGAATCCTTTAAATAACTTCGATTTTTTTTGGACTTTGTATGATAATTGTACCTATGTGTACCTGTGCCTAAATAAACTTACTGAGAGTAGGATAATCAATACGTGAGGCTGCACGTCACCTGCACACCATTAGTCAAGGACACTTACCACTAATATAGGGTTTAAAGCAGATTCTAAGCGTAATGTCCGAAGACCTCACTTTCAAGGACTACAACAATGCCACTATCACATCTGCTAGGAAACTGATAGGATGGATAATGAGAACATTCAGGACAAGAGATGCTAAGCCAATGATGATCCTTTTTAAATCACTTATTCTCTCTAGGCTGGAATACTACTGTACATTAACATCCCCATTCAAGGCAGGTGAAATTGCATAACTAGAGAATGTACAGAGAACCTTCACTACACATATAAGTTCCATCAAACACCTTAACCACTGAGAGCGTCTGGAAGCACTTGACCTGTACTCACTAGAGCGCAGGTGAGAGATATATATATCATAATCTACACCTGGAATATTCTGGAGGGACTGGTCCCTAATATGCACACAGCAATCACTCCATACGAAAGCAAAAGACTTGGCAGGCGATGCAACATACCCCCAGTGAAAAGTAGGGGCGTCACTGGTACACTACGGGAAAACCCAATAAGTGTCCGAGGCCCAAGACTGTTCAACAGTATCCCACCAGCAATAAGGGGCATTACGGGAAGTCCCCTGGTTGTCTTCAAGAGGGAGCTGGACAGATACCTAAAGACGGTGCCGGATCAGCCGGGCTGTGGTTCGTACGTTGGATTGCGTGCGGCCAGCAGTAACAGCCTCGTTGATCAGGCCCTGATCCACCGGGAGGCCTGGTCGTGGACCGGGCCGCTGTGGCGCTGATCCCCGGAATGCCCTCCAGGTAGACTCCAGGTATATACACAGAGCTATACACCTCTGTGCATATTCTGCTCAACATTCTTCATTGCACAAGAAATAGTGAATAACTTAATAACTTTCTGCAAAATTTGTCACTATGTTGTTCTGCATATTACAGATAAATGTTGAAGGTTAAGGTAAGATTTTTTAACCCAGTTAATGCTAGCCACCTAAGATCGCTCAATAAAACCTGAGCGTCATTGGGGACTGTGTCTCATTTCCAGTGGGGTCCTTTTAATCCTGTCCCCAGGATGCGACCCACAAGTCGACTAACACCCAGGTACCCACCTAGGTGAACAGCGTGATGTGTAAATTAACATGCCCAACGTTTCCACCTGTGCCGGTGATCGATCCACGGGAGCACAGTATGTGAGTTCTGCTCGCTATCAACTGAGTCACGGGTATTTTCAACTAAGCCACCCTAAAACTGCTGTAAAAACATATAACTATTTGTCATTAAAATCATAACCCGGTTTTGCAATATCCTGGGGTGAAGAGGAGCACGATTTGATGGGGAAGAGGGGCGCATGCAATGATGGGATTGATGTATAAGCTTTGATGGGTGGTGGGGCGCAGACGTTGATGGGCTGCTAATGTGCAAGCTTTAATGGGGTACTGTGGCACAGTCACTGATGAGGGGAAATATAAAGATTGCTTCCCAGCTGATATTCCCCACCACCCTTATGTTAAATGCTGGCGAGGCTATTGACACGAAAGTTGTGGTCTGATATGTTACGTCATTGTATTGTTCAGCCATGCATGCTTTGTTAACTTGTATTGTTTGTCCATCCATAACTTTGCTACCTAGTACTGTTTGTTCATCCATAACTTTGCTACCTAGTACTGTTTGTTCATCCATAACTTTGCTACCTAGTACTGTTTGTTCATCCATAACTTTGCTACCTAGTACTGTTTGTTCATCCATAACTTTGCTTAGTAGTTTGTTCATCCATAACTTTGCTACCTAGTACTGTTTGTTCATCCATAACTTTGCTACTTAGTAGTTTGTTCATCCATAACTTTGCTACCTAGTACTGTTTGTTCATCCATAACTTTGCTACCTAGTACTGTTTGTTCATCCATAACTTTGCTACCTAGTACTGTTTGTTCATCCATAACTTTGCTACTTAGTAGTTTGTTCATCCTATAACTTTGCTACCTAGTACTGTTTGTTCATCCATAACTTTGCTACCTAGTACTGTTTGTTCATCCATAACTTTGCTACCTAGTACTGTTTGTTCATCCATAACTTTGCTACCTAGTACTGTTTGTTCATCCATAACTTTGCTACTTAGTAGTTTGTTCATCCATAACTTTGCTACCTAGTACTGTTTGTTCATCCATAACTTTGCTACTTAGTAGTTTGTTCATCCATAACTTTGCTACCTAGTACTGTTTGTTCATCCATAACTTTGCTACCTAGTACTGTTTGTTCATCCATAACTTTGCTACTTAGTAGTTTGTTCATCCATAACTTTGCTACCTAGTACTGTTTGTTCATCCATAACTTTGCTACCTTGTATTGTTTGTCCATCCATACTTTGCTACCTTGTCATATATTTTCCTAAATTCCTACACATATCGTATTTCCTAATAATATATTAGTAAGTTAATTATATCTTTTCTTTTTGCACGATAATGTCCTCGTTATTTCCATTACATGTGTGTGTTTTTCAAGATGGTAAACGCGATGTAAAGGTAACTTCAATCACTCTGGAAGAGAACATGTTAACATGCCGTAGATACAGAACCCATTAGTGGGAAGCTTGACGATGTCCTCATCACTCTACAGTATTCTCACAGCTCAGGTTGACAAACTTCATTACCCTGTGGTATATCTAAGAGGTAAAACATCCCGGACAGTAGACAGTTCTTGTCAGAGAGATTAGGAAACTTGCACGATGCACGTTTTTATCCAGTTTTTATACAGAAAAAGAGTTAACAGATCCTTGTCCTGAAAAGTGATGACGAGTAAAGAAAAGATTTTATATTTTTTGTTTTAACCATGACAGGGTGCCAAATTCCTCGGGGGTTTACACCGCACTGAAATTTTGAAGAATAAAAATATTCCCACTACTTAAATAAAATAAAGGATGAACCTTTTTATACAGGATGTGCTTGGAAGACAGTAGTAGTTACGAGAGCACAGTCCACGGGATCTCCACCACGGAAAGGTAACCATTCTTCTGGAGAGGATATTAGATGAATTTGAATGGGAGGGAGAGAGATAGAGAGGAGAGAGAGAGAGAGAGAGAGAGAGAGAGAGAGAGAGAGAGAGAGAGAGAGAGAGAGAGAGAGAGAGAGAGGAGAGAGAGAGAGAGAGAGAGAGAGAGAGAGAGAGAAAGAGAGAGACAGAGACAGAGACAGACAGACAGACAGACAGAGACAGACAGACAGACAGACAGGCAGACAGGCAGACAGACAGACAGACAGACAGACAGACAGACAGACAGGCAGACAGAGACAGAGAAGGAATGCTCACTACACTACTGCCGTAGCGTAATGACGTCAAGTTCAGCACACAATAAGAGTGAACAACTTAACACAGAGACAGGAACGTCGGGAACATTATCAAGGACTGACTCACAGCGGGGGACTCACTCAAGGTCTAACACGCTACATTAAACATCGTGATGGATGGTATCAAGGAAACAGGTATCCAAGCAAAGCATTCTCTGAACTGCACTTCGCACATGACATCTGTACTCCAACACCAGCACCTGTTCTAATGCGTTACAGCGTGTAATGCAGAAAATAACTGAAAAAAAGTGCGCTATAGTGCACTACAGCCCTAGTACTATAGTAACTATAGTGATATATGTAGTGCTATTACTAAAGTGCTCGTGCTATAGTTCTAATATATTGGTATTACTAATAGTGCTTTACATATAGTACTAATGTTATAGTGCTATTACTATAGTATTATTAAATAGTGCTATTACGATATTGGAATTACTATATTTTTACTATAGCGCTCTTACATAGTGGTATCACTCTAATGGTATTTCTATAGTGTTACTGGCAGAGTGATGTCTCTCACTCTTCACTTGCAGTGATGGAAGAGTGATGGCAGAGTGATGGCAGAGTGATGGCAGAGTGATGGAAGAGTGATGACAGGGTGATGGAAGAGTGATGACAGGGTGATGACAGGGTGATGGAAGAGTGATGACAGGGTGATGGAAGAGTGATGACAGGGTGATGGAAGAGTGATGACAGGGTGATGGAAGAGTGATGACAGGGTGATGGAAGAGTGATGACGGTGATGGAAGTGATGACAGGGTGATGGAAGAGTGACGACAGGGTGATGGCAGAGTGATGACAGGGTGATGGCAGAGTGATGACAGGGTGACGTCTCTCACTTTTCACTTGCTGACGAAGTTTTACTGCGAAAATAAAAGGTATAAACAACTGTGTATGTCATGTGAACCTTGGGAAGGCAGACTACCAGTAAGTCGTGGATGGCAGTCATCCTCATGTGAACCTTGGGAAGGCAGACTACCAGTAAGTCGTGGATGGCAGTCATCCTCATGTGAACCTTGGGAAGGCAGACTACCAGTAAGTCGTGGATGGCAGTCATCCTCATGTGAACCTTGGGAGGCAGACTACCAGTAGTCGTGGATGGCAGTCATCCTCATGTGAACCTTGGGAAGGTAGACTACCAGTA